TGGTTTAGGTGTTACGTTAAGCACTGCCGTCTCTCTGCTACTACAGCGTAGAGTTGTTAGCTAAGCCACTGACCTCTATGTACTTACAGGCGAACGGTGTTAGCTAAGCACTGCCTCACTCTGTACTACAGGTAGGTGTTAGCTAAGCCCTGACCCTCTATGTACTACAGGTAGGTGTTAGTTAAGCACTGACCCACTCTGTACTACAGGTAGGTGTTAGTTAAGCACTGCCTCACTCTATGCTACAGGTAGGTGTTAGTTAAGCACTGACCCACTCTGTACTACAGGTAGGTGTTAGTTAAGCACTGCCTCACTCTATGCTACAGGTAGTGTTAGTTAAGCACTGACCCACTCTGTACTACAGGTAGGTGTTAGTTAAGCACTGCCCCACTCTGTACTACAGGTAGGTGTTAGGTTTAGGCAGCTGACCAGCTTCTGATTACTAACAGAGTAGGCTGTTAGGTAAGCACTGCCGTCACTTCTATGCTACAGGTGGAGGTGTTAGTTAGCACTGACCCACTCGTGACGACAGGTAGGTGTTGTTAAGCATGGAGCCCACTCTGTACTACAGGTAGTGTTAGCTAAGTCACTGCCCTCTCTCTGCTACTACAGGTAGTGGTATTAAGCACCTGACCCTCTTCGTGTACTACAGTAGGTGTTGAGTTAAGCACGCTGCTCCACGTCGTATGCCTGACAGTGGTGTGATAGTTAAGCACTGCACCCACTCTGTACTACAGGTAAGGTGTTAGTTAGCACGTTCTCTGAACTAGTGATTTTTCATTTGCAGTTATTGGGAGCGAATAAACGTTCAAGTTTCTTTTTATAAATACCATATAATTATTATCAATTTTGCTCCAAATATTGCTTTCATACATAAACAAGTAATTCTTTCACTCATAATCTCGAGTATGCATTCATACCCTAGAAATATTTTTGGGTATGGAACCTTACCCTTTTACCCTCTTGGCAGAAACCCTGAATACCTAGCAAAGGATGAATGTGGCTTTCCGACCAAGCTCACCTCTTCAGGGGAACGGTGTTCAGCTTGTACTTCTGCCGATGCAGGCGGTTCGCGACGACGAGCACCGAGACGTCCGGGTCGAGGCACAGCGGCTCGTGGGTCGCCAGCACGAGCTGCGCCTCCAGCGCGGTCCGATCCTCGGCCGTCCAGCGACTCGAGTCGGCCGTCATCGCGTTCACATCGCAGATCAGACTCTGAGACAAGACAGACATGGTGTGACAAAACGCGACACGACGCGATGCAACACGACACGAAACGAGACACGGCGCAATACGAAACGTAACCCGACAAAATGTGACATGATGCGACGAGACGTGACACGACAAGACGCAACATGGTACAACACGAAACGCAACACAAGCTGCGACATTACGTGACACGACAAGACACGACAAAACACAACAGGACGTGAGACACCACTGAAATCGTTCCTCACATGTGCGAGTGCATCACGAACGACTAGGCCAAAACAAAATATAGGTGTGGTTACGGTTTCCCCACCGACCATATTTATTCCCAGCGACCCTAAACATTTTATTGTCAATTTTCTTTAAAGTAAAAAAATAAATAAAATAATAAATATATATATATTATGAATTGGACAGTTCTGCTTCAAAAGGCACAACGCACATCCTTCGGACATGGTTCGTAAATAAGATATTTCAAGAAAATAAAATGTTTTCCCTACCTACCTACCCTATTTTTTCCCGGCATGTAACGGTAACCACACATATATTTTGTTTTTGCCCTACCGAAAACGCTTGAGGGCACATGAGATTGCGCCCGAGTTAGAATCACGTATAATTATCGTTACATCACCATCACAAACAAAACGATCAAGTCGTGTATGAGAAGACAGCAGTTGTGCCGCCATCTACAAGCAATCTCATTTCAGCTCAAGCGAGCACATTTTCATTTGTTACGTTTGTGGTTTCATTTCCAAGGAGTAATCTAGTCTGTACCACTTACGGAAGCACGTGAGCTGTTCAGAGAAGAGTCTCACCTGTGTTGTGGGTTTCAGCAGTACATGGTGGCTTTCATGACCACTGCCTGTCGCACTCACCCGTCGGTAGTCTCTCACCTCGGCTATCACACAACCCGTGTAAAATATATTCGTCTGAAAACAGGATTAAAACTAAATATACAAGGAAGAGGTCAATAAAAAATAAATGGGTAAAAATAAAAGAATAAATGGAACTAACCATAGCCACGTGTATCATATACTTCACTGACTATGTCTGCACAGGCTATATGAATGGAACAATTGACACAATCTATCTGAACAACGTTCATTTAGTTCAGTTTACAGATATAGCTAGAACATAGAACGATAGCTATAGATTTTGGAAAGTGAGTCAGGAAAGGTTCCCTTTGATTCTGGCAATAGTAAATTGATGTATTTACCTGACATCTTTCCAGAAGATCTACTAATATTGGAGGTAACTGGAAAAATGTAATAGAAATATGACTTGGTGTGTCTATAACCAAATTTCTTTCCTGAAGCACAATGACAAGCTCAATCACAAAGACTGATACATGAACAAACTGATACATGACATAACATAACTGATACATGAAATTTTTTTGCATGAACCCATATTAATACTATACAAATTCCTAAATCTCTTTATCAATGCCATATATTTACTGCAATAGGTATAACATATCAATACACAACTGACTAAATGATGTCATTTGTACCTCTTCATTGTCAATATATCTTAGCATTTCAGATTCTTCGTAGGGGAGTCTTATAGTTTCTGAGTCAGCACCACCTTGACCCTTGAGGAGAAGGCTGTAGCCCTCATTTCCTGGATACAGGTTGACCACGAGGCAGGACAAGCTCTCCTTGGCTACCAGCTTGTCTAGCAGATGTGTTGTTGGCAATAACTACACGAGATATCAATATGAATTTAATATATGACCTTTGAGGCAAGGGTTTATATCATCCTATGTGTAACATGCACAGCAATGCAATACAACAAACTAGAGGCTAAGCAACATACGGTGTGCTTATGTGTAAACAAAACAGCTGGGGATTGTGAGATTATCAAGACTTTTTGTTACCTGATCTTTTGTGTCTCTGCATGATTCTTCTATGTACAAATCTAACAGTTTCTGATGAATAGATTTCCTGGTAAACATGACAAAATAAAACAACAATGAAAAAACACTGGTGCTGTTAAAATTAATAACTTTGTTACATATAGTCTTTGCAATTCTGGCACACGATGTACTGTGCAATCCCACCTGTTTAACGACATGCGTCTAAACAGAGGAATTGCTCCAACCTGTGATTGGAGGATAAAAATAGAATTCGTGACGTTTCGTTTTTGCTCGCACTGCTCGTATTGAGCACACTGGAGTATACAGCTGTTACCCCCCCCTCCCCCCC